TGAGCCAGGGTTTCCCTCCAATAACCTCATCCGTTTCTGTACTCAAAGATCCTCTGTAACCTTTGTGATTCCATTCCAGAAGTACCACTCCTGGGCCTGAAACTGATTTTCATCGTCCTCATATTCTTCCTGAAGTATCATTTAGAATGGATTGATAATCTAGTGCACTGATTTTTCATTCTGATATCAACTGTCTGGCTGTTCTATACATCAGACCTTACAATGCCATTCACAATGTTCTCCGGTGAATCAAAATGGGGCCTTTTCCTCATAGCCCAGCTGTGCATGGGTGTCATGGGGAACTCCCTGCTCTCCATGCTCTATCTGTACATGTTTTCATTCCAACATCATCTGAAGAAACCTATCAATGCCATCTTCATACATCTGACTGTGGTCAACATCCTGAACCTCACCTTCACACTTGTGCCAAATATCATGGCATCCTTTGGAGTCCAATTTTTTCTGGACAATGTGGGCTACAAGGCAGTGGTGTACCTCTTCAGAGTCACCCGGGGACTGTCCATCTGTACCACCTCACTCCTCAGTGAGTTTCAGGCCATCACCATCATCTCCAGCCGTGCCCAGTGCATGTGGCATAAATCTAAGTCTTCAGTGTGGATTTTCCCTTCTTTCTTGTTCTTCTGGGTTGTCAATATGCTCATCTATGTCCAAGTCATTAAGGTTATGAAAGCCAAAATCAATTTCATTCTTGTTGCTTCTGGGTTTTCCAATATATATTGTCATACTCCGCAGCTCAAGATCTTGTGTTTGTAATCCTCATGATCATCACCAGCCTCTACATGGTGAGGCTTCCATACTGACACCACCAGATAGCTTAGCACCTATATAATTTTAGCCTTGCCACCCAGCCAGCACCCAAGATCAAAGAAGGCCACCCACACCATCCTGCTGTTGATCAGCTGTTTCGTGTGTTTCTATTGCTTCAACAACGTCACCAACTTCTATTACTTTTACACAGCAGTGAAAATCCCTACCCTGGAGGTGATGATTAGTATTCAATCAGCATGCGACCCAACAGTGTTCCCTTTTTTCCTCATGAAGAATAATGAAATGCTTTCCCCATGTGCCCTGTCTCTTTCATGGAGAACTATCAGTTGTCCCAAAGCGTTCAGTGGCTGATTGGAAAGCCTCATGCATGCAAGGAAAGCACTCTATCACTGAGCCACCTTCCCAGCAACATGAAGGATATTTTTCTGTCCTTGCACACCGTAGTTGTAGTTTTCTTTGCCTGCAAAATGAGTTTCTGGGAGACAACAAATGGTTGAGTTTGGTTCCCTGCTCTCCGCCTTTTTTTTTTTTTTTCTGGTTATGTGCTGCTAAGGAATCAAACCCAAGGCCTCATGCATGCAAGGCAAACACTGTACCACTGAGATACCTTCTCAGCCCTTGAGTCTTGTTTTTTGATCCATCTGCGTGTCTATATCCTTTGGTTGAGCAATTGAGCCCATCAATACTTGTTACTCTGGGTCCAGGCCTGTGAGAATCAAAGTTTAATAACCAACTGCACCCTGAAGTTTACTTTCCGATGAGTTTGACTTGGGAAAAAAAAAACACGTCTTCAAATGGCAAATGTGTTCATCTAATTAATAAACTTAGTGTTTGCTCCTTGACCCCTAGGAGAGTGGTTTGCAGCTCCTGTGGGAAGATTTGATGGATGCCCAGTAAACAATGCCAGCCAGGCAACAGGTGATGCTGATTGACATCCAGAGATCAATGACAAGAAGCCTCCTTACCCAAGCCTTCTCTATAGTCAAGCCTGACCAGACTCAGCCTTTCCAGGATGCCAGAATGCCTCAAGGAAGCTGGGCCTTGTGAGCCAGCTCTCAGCCCTGAGGAGACCACGAGGTAGGAAGAGGTCAGAAAACTTTTCATTATCCCATTTCCCCTGGCTATTTTCTGCTGTAGGTGTTGTGATTTGAAATGAAGTTACACAAATGCTTTCATCCGGAACAGAGAAACCTACTTGGGACTGAATCTCTGCAGTGACCCTGGAAAACCCTGAAAATATTTCCCTCATAACTTGGAGAGTGATCTACAGATGTCATTTGTTTGTTTGTTTATTGTGGTGCTTGGGCTTGAAGTCAGGGCCTGGACGTTGTTCCCGTGCTGTCATGCTCAAAGCTTAGACAATACGACATGAGCCCCAGTTCTACTTCCAGCTTGTGTTAAAGTTTATTAGAGATAAGAGTCTCACAGTCTTCACTATCAAGTTTGGCTTCCAACCATGATCCCCAGCTCTCATCCTCCTCAATAACTAGGATCTCGGGTGTTTGAGCCACCCACACCCAGCTCCATATCAGATGTCTGCCTTATATCTTATGAATCCTGTGAATGGTAGAAATTAGTATTGCATTCTTCCCAATTTTTATCATTTTAATTGTCATTATATGTATATATAGTCGGTCATGGGGCTTGAACTCTGGGCCTGGGTGTTCTCCCTCAGCTCTTCAGCTCAAGGCAAGCACTCTACCACTTGAGCCACAGGCCACTTCTGGCTTTCTGAGTCATTTATTGGAGATAAGAGTCTTACAGATTTTCACGCCCGTGCTGGCTTTGAACCTCGCTCCTCACATCTCAGCCCTCTGAGAAGGATTACAGGCATGAGCCACTGGTGCCAGGCTTCATTATTATTTTTTATTGTCATTATACATGTAATGTACAGACAGGTTACCGTTTCATGACTCAGGTAATCAGTATATTTCTTTTTTGACAATGTTATCCCTTCCCTCCAAGTTTATTCATCCAATTACCACCCACAAATAGCATAATGCATTATCCACAGGGTCTACTGAGTACCACTGTTACATTTGTTCACATTTTAATTTTCATAATGGACAATCAAACTGTCCAAACAGAAAGTCATTGTACTCATCCAACCACAATGAAAGTTTTTCAGTACTTACCTGACATTCTTACCTAGAGACCTCATATGTCTGGACATCATAGAGATTTTTTTTATCATAGCAAGGATAACCTTACCATTTCTGCATGATAAAAATGTTTATGCCTACTGAACCTATTGTATGATCGATTTTCTGGATCTGTTGAGGGGCTCTGGCATTTTCCTCACTATTATTCTTGTCATCACTGAATATGGGAATTGGGTGATGTTATGCCTAGTTTTAATCTTCTTTTTAAGTCCTCACAGTAGTAATTTTATTAAATTAGTTGCTTTATAAAACATTGCAGATGTCACAATTGTTAAATAACAATTTACCAAACTTGCAGCTTGCTGAGCATGTTTTATAAAGAAAAGAAAATGCCAAAACCTTGTTAAACGTTATTTCAAGCAGCATGCGGGTGGCTCACACCTGTAATTCTAGCTATTGAGGAGCCTGAGATCTGAGGATAATGCTTCAAAGCCAGTCCAGGCAGAAAAGTACATGAGACTCTTATCTCCAATTAATTACCAGAAAACCAGAAGTGGTGCTGTGGCTCAAGTGGTAGAGTGCTCACCTTGAGCTAAAGAGCGCAGGGACAGCACACAATCCCAGAGTTCAAGCCCCACAACCGACCAAAAAAAGTTATTTAAATGCAACCTAGGAGAAAAGAGATTTGTTTCTCAGACACTTGAGTCAAGCAAATAAAAACAGGGAGTTTCTGTCCCTCAGTAGAAATAGTCTGATAAATAAAAACTTAGATAGTCTGTACACTGAGATTCCATAACTTGCCCTGTGATAACAGAGAGGTATACCTTCTTCAGTTTCAGAGGTGGTTTTGGTCATTAAAATTTTAAGTATCAAACCAGTACTTTTCAGCCACAGTATCTTCACTCTGAGATAATCTTCTTCACAATGTTCTTAATATCCTCATGCTCAATTCTTAGATAACGCAAATTTAATACTAGCTGCACACCACATGCCCTGGCTGCAAACTGCTTTTCTTGACAAGTATAAAGTCCTTCAAGAAGGTATGGTTAAAGCTGTGTTACTGAACTGTGCTGGTAAACATCACACAATTTTTATCATGTTGTAACCTTTTTTTTCCAATTTAGTGACTGCTATTATGGGATTAGACAGCAAAAATGACATTATTAGGTTTGTTTTGTTTTTAAACTGTGAATTAGTAACAACTTAAGTTCCCAATTTTAACCCCTGGGCAGCAAGATTCAAGTTCCCTCATTGGCACATTAGCACCTAAGTGTCAAGGGGTTAAATAACCAGCTCCAAAGATAAGGCACTTCTGATTGTCGCATTTGGCAGAATTGAAAGGAAAAGAAGTTGTGCTACATGTTGAAGGGATTGTGTGCAACAGAAATAAGACACTAGGAGAGAGAAACTGTCACATGAAGTCTTCATAGTCTTGTACCTATCCTCCATCACAACCACCATCATCTGCCAGATCATCTTCCAAGGTGGACTTTAATCCCCCTCCAGGAACCATGCTTTCTTCTTTTTTTTGGCTTTGTTATGCTTTGCTTGCTTCTGTGTTCTCACCGCAAAGCACAGTCAATGAATTGATCATCTTCTCCAAGTCATCAATTTCCAATGAAATTCACACATCTCGAACTAAGGCTTTCAAAAACCTGGCATAATAGAATGACTTTTCACCCTGTGTAATATTATCTTTTTGTAACTTCCCAAATTCTGTGAGATAATTTCTTGAAGATGGGTTCATAGCATCTATCCCACAAACTGTATCATTCACACCAAACGTTTCTTTTGCTAGTACAAGGTCTGAATCTTCCTGTAGTTTCTGTAGCCCCAGTTTATCTGCTAATTGTTCTTCTGGTGTTAGCACTTGAGGTTCTTCAGGTTCTTCTCATCTCCTTTTAATTTCTTCTTGCTTTTTCTTCTGTTGTCTTTCTTTGTTCTTTTATTTTCTCCACAATTTTTCTTTTTTTTTGAAAATTTTATTTCTGGTTTTGCTCTGCTGCTTCTTTTGTTTCCTCATCCTCATCCTCATCCTCATCATCATCACAGTTACCCTTGACCTTTTTGTCCTCGCCTTTAGTGGTCCCCGCCAGCCTGGTGGCGAGCATGTGGATGAGGGAGCATGGGCACCGCCAAGAGGTGGGGTGGCATGTTGAGTCACCGGGCTGGCTTTCCCTGGCTCGCGAGGGCATGTTGGGACCGTCCCTAGTGTGAATCTTAGTCTCCTCTTCTGTTGCCTTAGTGTTTTATCATAGTGGGAGATTCCTTTATACATTGACTTAGTGTCGATTTTGTTTTTGTCTTTTACCTCTAGAAATACATTTGTCTCCCCTCATTTTGGTTGTGTTATTCTGATTGCATTTTCTATCAAGGCAAGGATAAAATAAAAGCAGAGTTAATGCAAGGCTCTCTGGAGCTTTTCAGAAAAGCAGGAAGGCATTTCCACCTCTGGTGTGTTTGGCACACTCTTCCTATGACGCAGATTTTGATTCCTTACCCAGTAATTTCCCCCACTATGGAATTTCACCATAGGAACTATTGCACTTTGAAATATTCCTAGGGTGCTATACGTTTTGTTACTAGTGCTGGAGCTTGGACTCGGGACTTGTTCCTTTGCTTTACTCCATATTCGAGATAAGATGTGTTTTGTAAATGAGAGGCTCTATCTGGACATTAAAGGTTCATGCCTGTATTCTTAGCTACTCAGGAGGCTGAGATATGAGGATCATGGTTCAAAGCCAGTGCAGGCAGGAATGTCCGTGAGACTCTTCTTTCCAATTAACCACCACAAAAACCAGAAGTGCTGCTGTGGCTCAAGTGGTAGAGCATTCACCTTGAGCTGCGGAGCTGATGGACAGCACCCAGTCACAGACTTCATGCCCAATGACTGACAAAAAAAGGTTGAGATTTGAAGATCAGGATTCAAAGCCAGCCCATTCAGAAGAGTCTGTGAGTCTTATTTCTAAATAACCAGCATAAAGATGGAAACGTAGCTATTAGGACTGAATAACACACAAAAAAAGTTCAGGGATAACACTTATGCCCTGAGATCAAGCCCCAGAATTTCAAACAGACACACACACACACACACACACACACACAGGTACACACACCCATCTGAAGAACAAAGAAAACTCCTTTTATCATGCAAATTTGTCACGCAAGCCCACAGTTCTCCTCGCTGAGGAACTAGGAAGTATATCATGAGCAACACATTGCAATAATCAGAGCCATTACTGTCCCCTAATACCCTGAGTAAGTCTTGGGATCCTGTTCCAGTAGGGCCACCCCTAGGCCTGAAAGACAATTTCTCTTCTGCATATTCTCCATGAAGCTCAATTTGGAATGGATCCATAACCAGTGCACTTGATATTTCTCTCCTGTATCAAGTGTCTGGCTGCTCTATAGATCAAAACATCACAAAAACTATTAGTGATGTTCATGGCTGAATCAATATGAGGCTTTTCCTCATAGCCAAGCTGGATATCGGTGTCATGGGGAATTCCCTGCCCTCCATGCTCTATCTGTACTTGTTTTTATTCCAACGTCATCTAAAGAAGCCCAGCAATGCCATCTTCATGCATCTGCCTATGATCAGCTTGCCTAATACCATGTTCACAATGGTGCCAGATATCATGGTGTCCTTCAGCGTCTAGCACTTTCTGGATGATGTGGGCTGCAAGGCGGTGGTGTACCTCTTCAGAGTCATCTAGGTGCTTTCCATCTGTACCACCTTGCTCCTCAGTGCATTTCAAGCCAACACCATCAGCTCCAGCCTTACCCAGTGTGTGTAGATTAAATCTAAATCTTCAGTGTGGATTTCCCTTTATTTTCTCTTCTTCTGGGTTGCCAAAATGCTCATGTAGGTCCTGGTCCTTAAGGCTATGAAAGCCCAAATTCATTTTACTGTTGTTGGTTCTGGGTTTTCCAATGCATATTGTCATACTTGACAGAGAGAAGAAAATAGATCATGGCATCTTCTTATTCTGAGACCTTATGTTTGTAATCTTCATGCTCACCACCCGCCTCCACATGTTGACAGCCCTCTCCCGACACCCCAAGAGAGCCATGTACCTTTACAGTCCCCTCATCGCTACCTAGCCATCACCTAGCCATCACTACCTAGCCTAGCCAAAGCCATCCACATCACTCTGCTGCTGGTCAGCTGCTTCATGTGTTTCTGTTCCTCCAACAACTTTGTTAATGTTTTTCCTTTTACACAGTAGAGAAAACGACAACATTGGACATGATCATTTGTATTTTATCATGCTGCCCAATTGTGTCCCCTTGTTTCCTCATGAAGTATAATATAATTCTTTCCAATGTAGCACCTCCCTCTCATTGATGACAATTACCAGTTGTCACGAAGCATTCAGTGGCTGATTGGACAGCCAAAATCATTGTTCAAAGGCAGTGAAGATTCTAGTACTGTACATGGGGAAAAAAAGCTGTGTGAGTATTGAGCACTTGAAGTGTAGTTTGAATGCAGATATGCCAGATTTTTTTGTTTTTGTTTTTTTCCCAATCCTGGGGCTTGAACTGAAGGCCTGGGTGCTATCCCTTTTGCTCAAGACTACCACTCTACCATAGCACCACTTCTAGCTTTTTCTCTTTATGTGGTAGTGAGGAATCAAACCCAAGACTTCATTCATGCTAGGCGAGCACTCTGCCACTAAGCCACATTCCCACCAATATGCCAGAATTTTAATACATTGAAGCTTTGAAGTCTTACTTGATGCCCATTTCCATATGTGTGTGTGTGTGTGTGTGCGTGCATGCATACACAAAAGTTTTATAATGTTTGTTTAAAATATTATTGGTTGGATGAAATACATTTTTGCACACTTCTAAACATGACTTGTTTTTGTTTTTATAAAGACAGCTGCTGAACAATCCATTTCTTCCTTGCATTCTATTTCTACTAACAGTGCTGTTTGTTATAAGGAATTTTAGTAGATCACCTTATGAATGCTAGTCATACAATGACAAACCAGGATACAGCCAATAAGGAAGCAAGATGCGACCTATGACAAACCAGGAGGTATCCAGTGACAAAGGATACAGCCAGAGCTAGGCATTGATGGCTCATATCTGTAATCCTAGCTACTCAGGAGGGTGAGATCTGAGGATTGCAATTCAAAGCCGGTCAGGACATGAAAGTGTCTCAGAGTTTTATCTCCATTTAGTCACAGAAAATACCAGGAGTGGCACTCTGGATCAAGTGGTAGAATGCTAGTCTTGAGCAAAAGATGCTCAGGGACACTGGGCAGGCCCAGATTTCAAGCCCCAGGACTGCCCCCCCCCAAAAGTGTCAATGGATACAGCCAACAACAAAGTAAAATTTAGGGAATGAAGAGGGATGCAGCCAATGGTATAGCAGGGTATAATCAATGGAAAAGGATTCCACCAAGGGCAAAGCAGGATGCTATAGCCAACGCTCCTAGGTCCTCCTACATCCGGGGGAGGCTACTCTGGACAGGCAGCGTAACACTGGGACACAATTGGGAAGATCAGCGATTCTCATTCAGAGAACAAACTGGACCTTCCAGGGTTGTGCTGTGGAGAGAATAAGCCCCTGAGTGTCCAGTTATACCCCCTTTCTATAGAAGTATCCTAAGGAACAGGGGCCCTGTCTAGTCTGGAGACCACTAGGGACTGGTTATTTTATTCTGCATTTTGGTCAGAGAATATAACTAACTCAGTAACAGACCCTTTTTCTCACTGGCTGATGCTCCTCAAGCCTTCTGTCCTACCACTGTATCTTGGACATGGTTTGAAGTCTATTTCCTCTATTGTTTTCCTGTTTATAACTCTGTATATTCCCTTGTCTCCTCTGTGAGTATTTTTCAATACTTGGTTGTTTTCATGGACTTTTATATTTCCTTTTTGTGTATGTTGAGCCAATTTGTACCCTTGCAGTGAAATCAACTTGCTCATCGTGTGTGAACTTTCTAATATGATATCAGATGCATTTCTGAGCCTTTCTTATGTGTGTTATCTCAAGTACCTTTATTAATCATTTTCTGAGTTCCTTGATACTGATAGTCACCTTACCATATTTTGGTAGCATGTTTTGCTTTTATAGGCTGAGTTCTCAAGAGTTCTCTCTCTTTTATGAAATTGTTGGAGGAGCATTTTCATTAAGGATTTGATTTAGTTGTTGTTGCTTTTGTTTCTTTGGTTTTGTGCTGGTTCTGGGGTTTGAACTCAGGACATGGATGCTTTTCCTGAACTGTTTTTGCTGTCCCTGGAACCACATCTCTTTATCTGTGATTGTTGTTGGTTAATTGGAGAGGAGAGTCTCACAGTCTTTCCTGCCCAGGCTGGCTTTGAACTGTGATCCTTCTATTTCATCCTTCAAAGTATCTGGGACTGCAGGCATGAGTCACCAGTGTCCAGCTCCAATGTCTACAAAATTTGTAGACATACTAGAATCTACCAAAAATGAGCAAGGAGTATACAAGTGACTTATGCAGAAGTGTAATGTGTGAGAAGACAGAGGTAGTGATAGTCTCCCCAAAATGCAGAATGAATTGTGAATAAAATCAGCAGTGAGATTCACTGCTCTGTGGAAAATAAAATGTACAACTAGTGGAAAGCTTCAAGACTCATTGTCATCATGTACAATTTTTTTTGGTTGGCTGTGGGTCTTGAACTCTGGGCCTGGATACTGTTCCTCAGCTTTTCAGCTCAAGGGGAGCACTCTACCACTTGAGCCACAGTGCCACTTCAGGTTTTCTGGTGGTTAATTGGAGAAAAGAGTCTCAGGACTTTCCTTCCCTGGCTGGCTTTGAACCATGATCCTCAGATCTCAGCCTCCTGAGTAGCTAGGATTACCAGCCTGAGCCACTGGCGCTCGGCCAAGTATAACTTTTTTGAACAATTCCTCTGTACAACCACTTAAGGGTTAAAATATGAATAAAATACAACAAAATAAATATACACAAATCAATAATATAGCTCTTAAAGAGACAGGGTCTGAAATCAAACTCTAACATCAACTGCGACCTATGACAAAGCACCAGGTATCCAGTGACAAAGCATACAGCCAGAGCTAGGCACTGGTGGCTCATATCTGTAATCCTAGCTACTCAGGAGGGTGAGATCTGAGGATTGCAATTCAAAGCCGGCCAGGACATGAAAGTGTCTCAGAGTTTTATCTCCAATTAGTCACAGAAAATACCAGGAGTGGCGCTGTGGATCAAATGGTAGAATACTAGTCTTTAGCAAAAATGCTCAGGGACAATGTGCAGGCCCAGAATTCAAGCCCCAGGAGTGCCCCCCCAAAAAAGATAAAACAAAATAAATATAAAAATCCATAATATAGCACTTAAACAGACAGGGTCTGAAATCAAACCCTAACATCAACTGAACTCCTCAAGAGCATTTATAAAAGAGAACAGAAATAACCTGATCATATCAATGCATGCACAAAAGCCCTGGGACAACAGTCAACATCACTTCATAATAAAAGTTCCAAAGAAACTAGGAAGAGAAGGGAGGGTGTGCTTCAACATCACAAAGGCTCCGTGTGATCATCTATAGTTCACCCTGTACTAAATGAGGAAAACTGAAAACGTCTGCATAAGGGAGAAAGGAGGTCATGTAGGCTCTCCATCTCTGATGCTATTTACTTAGTGCCTGGACCTTTAACCAAAGCAATGTCAAAGAAACCAAAAGGACCAAAATAGACTCAAAAGAGAAATTAGTCCTAGTTACAGATACTATGATCCTGTACATAAAACATGAAAAACTCCAGTTGAATGATGATTTTGTGCTACATGAACTCTAATGGCAAAGCAGCAGGAAACAAGCTAAATATATACTTATTGGAAGCTTTTCTATGCACAAAGAACAAACACTCTGAATAGCTGTGATTTTTAACAATCTCACTGAAACTGCTTTCCAAGCTGATATCATAATCATCAGCCCTGTGCCAGTGGCTCACACTAGACATCCTAGCTATTCAGGTTTCTGAGATCTAAGAATCAAGGTTAGAAGGCAGCCTATGCAGGCTTATATCCAATAAGCCACCAAAAAACCAGAATTGTAACTGTTTTTCAAGTGCTAGGGAACCAGCTTCGAGCATAAATACTCAGAGACAGGACCCAGGCCCTGATTTGAAGCCTTAGCCAACACACACACACACACACACACACACACACACACACGGGTTTATTACAAATGAATGTTCATTTCATTTCTCTCTCTCTCTCTTTTATCAGTAATGGGGTTTGAACTCTGAGCCTCGGAACTGTCCCTCAGCTCTTCAGCTCAAGGCAAGCACTGTACCACCTGAGCCTCAGCACCACTTCCGGTTTTCTGGTGTTTTACTGGTGATAAGAGTCTCACAGATTTTCCTCCCGGAGCTGGCTTTGCACCAAGATACTCAGATCTCAGCCTCCTGAGTAGCTAGGATGACAGGCGTGAGCCACTGGCAACCCGCAATCTCATTTCTCCTTAAAAAAAGCGTGTTCCAGGGACAAGTTAATACTTATCAGTTCTAGTTCATTTTCTATCTTTCTTTTTTGGGAAGGCGGGAGGTTCATGTCATGGGGCCTGAACTCTGGGCCTGGGCGCTATCCCTCAGCTCTTCAGCTCGAGGCTAGCACTCTACTACTTGAGCCACTGCATCACTTCCGGCTTTTTTCTTTTTGCTTATATGGTGCTGAGGAATCCAACCCAGGGCCTCAGGCTTGCAAGGCCAGCGCTCTACCACTGAGCCACCTTCCCAGCCCCAATATGACATCTTTCATGGTGTATAGAGATACTAGAAGGTAAATATATATCCAATATTTTCTGTACATTTTTTTTCTGTCAGTTGTGGGGCTTGAACTCAGGATCTGGGTGCTGTCCCTGAGCTCTACAGCTTATGGCAAGTGCTCTACTGCTTGAGCCACAATGCCACTTCCGGCTTTTGTCTTTTTGCTTATGTGGTGCTGAGGAATCGAACCCAGGGCCTCATGCACACAAGGCAAGCACTCTACCCCAAAGCCACCTTCCCAGCCCCTATTCTCTATCTTTTTGTGTTGCTCGCCATTTTATGCAAAGAAGAACACATTGTGATCACGACATCCCAACTTTGGGTGATCAACCAGTGAGCCAAGACAGAGACCCCATGGAGCTCAGTGCCAAGCCATGAATGCTGGGGGCTCAGTGCTTCCAAGAGGAGGGCACAGTGCTCTCTGAACTCTGCCCTGCTGTGCTCAGGTTATTTCCTACCAATGGTGTGAGAAGTAACTTTGAATGAGCTCTTAGGGTCTCCATTTGACTTTCTTGACACCACTGGGACTGGGAGCACAGACAGACCTGCATCAGGAGACCTGCTGTGCACGTGGGACAGGGCACCTGACTGCTCTGGTCCATCACGATGACAAGAAATAAACAGGGTCAGAGTGACAGCAGCAGGGGACGAGCTGAGCAAACACCGTGGGGAACCCCTCCGCGCCCTGTCCTCCTCTGGCTGATATGGGCATGCATGATCAAGCCAGGCTTCCAAAGACAGTCAGTGTGGCAGTCCAGACAGCCAGAGGAAGGATTCTGCAACTCTGAACCTTGGTTCAAAGCCAGGGGTGGGGTGAAGGCCCAACACTGCCCATCCCAGGATGAGCTGTGGTTTGCAGATTCACTTCTCTCCCTATTCCTTTTTGGTGCCAGTCCTAGGGCTTGGAGACAAGCCCTTGGTGCTCAGATTTTTTTTAGCTGATTTGCCCAAGATTAGTTCTCTACCACTTGACCCACAGCTCCAATTCTGGGGTTCTTTTTACTTATTTAGGTTTTGTAAAGATAATGATCTCCTGGACTTTTCCTGCTCTCCCTAGCTTTGATCCCCAATCCTCACATCTCAGATTCTTGAGTAGCTAGAATTGCATGTGTGCATCACTGGCCTGTCTTCATTTCTCTCGCTTGTGTTTGCGGTTGAATACACATCTTTCTTGTTTCTCTCAATGCTACCCTTTTTGTTCAAGCATTTGCTTGCTTTTTATTCTTACCGGTTTGCACACTTCAGCCGCTGTGGCACATCACTGCTCAGTTCCATCCAGATGAGTCCTTCACAACTTCCAACTCATCTGTGGTAAGTTCCATCTTCTAGGCATATTAGGAGTACTTTCAAATGTATTTATAATGGGAATCACAAAATCATTGTGTGTGTGTGTGTGTGTGTGTGTGTGTGTGTGTGTGATTATGTGCCAGGCTTGGGACTAGGACACTCTTTCTAAATACTTTTGCTCCAGGCTAACCCTGTACCATGTGAGCTCTAGCTTCACTTCCAGTTTTTGGTGTTTCTGTGGAGACACAAATCTCAATAACTTTCCTTGCTTGAGCTGGCTTTGAACTGGGATCCTCAGATATCCTCAGATATCAGCCACCTGAGTAACAGGTGAGTCACAAAATCTTCTTTCCACGAGGGCTTGCATTTTCTCTATTGCTGTCTCTAAAATTCCCATCTTAAATTAGCTTGCCAGCTACTACTTTAATGGTGAACATTTCCCCATCCTATTGGACATTGAGTGTTGGGTGTGTGAAACGTGGGCTTGTTCACAAGGAGCTGACTTGTTCTGTGTTTTCTCCCATAAGGGCTGTCTGCTCTCCTTGTCCTCATCCCAGCACCCAGTCTGTAATGTTGGGGCTCCTTTCTGACATTGTTCTCTTGATCTTTGTCTCTGAATTATCTTTTTGATTGCTGTGGCAGAAATTTCATAGTGCATCTTCATAGTAGCAAGTTTTCACAGCAGATTTTTATCTTTCAATGTGTGGAGATATCGTTTTTCTGGCTTTTTCATTCAATTTGTAAAGCACAATAATTTTGTTGGGAAATGTTGTTCATCTGAAACAACTCTACCCCCTTGTCGCTTCTCTGGTCAGTGAATTGGCTTCATCAGTGTCTGAGAGAGAATAAATGGAATTTTATTCTGACTGTGTGAAAGATGACATTTAAGAAAGACTGGGTGTGCGGTTTCTCAGGGCACATTGCTCAAGAGTATGAACTGCCTTGATCAGGTTTATTCATATAATTCCCATCTTTCCTTCCCCCCTGTTATTACTGCTAATGACTAAAGTCTTTGTGTAAAATAATGCGTTGCAATGGTTGATCCTAGTAACATGAGTCTTAAAATTGCCCAGTGGGTCATGGAATGAGAATCAGAGCAGAGAGCCTTATGGAAAATACACAGCCCAAGTCAGTTCTTTGTTAGTGAGCTGCATTTAATACCCTTACTTCACAATGCTGTTCTGTCCAATAAGAAGGGGAAATATAAAATAACAAGCTTCACTAGAAAGTTCTACAGGTGGGGCTGGCAAGGTGGCTAAGTGGTACAGGGTTTGCCTAGCATGCCTGAGGCCCTGGATTCGCTTCTTCAACACAACATTAGCAAAAAGAAAAAAGCCAGAATTGGCGCTGTGGGTCAAGTGGTAGAGCACTAACCTTGAGCTGAAGAGCTGAGGGACAGAGCCTAGGCCCAGAGTTCAGGCCTCATGACGGGCCCTAAAAAAAATAAAAGAAAGAAAGAAATTTCTAGAGGTCATGCTAATTAAATTGAAAAGTTAAGAGATAGCAAAAGAGAAAAGGCTAACACTTGTTAAAAGATGATTTGGATATGTGTGGTTTACACCTATAATCCTAGCTACTCAGTAAACTGAGATCTGAGGATAACAGTTCAAACCCAGTCTAGACAAGATAATCCATTTGACACTGATCTCAAATTGTGCACCAAAAAGCCAGACACAAAGCTGTGGCTCAAGTCATAGAGTACTGGTCTTGAGGAAAAATTCTCAGGGACCATGCTCAGACCCAGAATCAAGCCCCAAGACCAACACACATAGAAAAAGACAATCTGAAAAGATCCTGATTACATAGGAAAGATAATACATATTACCAATATGAGAATAAGATGAAAATTTGTGAACCATAGCCAAAATCACAATTCCTCAGAATTCTAATTCCTAAAAGTAACACTGTCTCTGGAAGTCACAGTGGATGCTGAGGAGGGCAACACACAGAATTGTCATGCTCAACAATTTGGCTGTTGCTTCTGGCCAGGAAACGGTGAGAATACTTCCATGCAGCAGCAAAGAGGGCCAGAGTGAAATTTTGTTCTTCAGGGGATTGTTCCGGAGAATGGGTTGAAAATGTTCTTACAGAGTTGTTCAGGAAAAATGGGATACTAATTTAATTCAGTGTAAGTTTATTAAGGAACAAAGGATTCTATGTGATGTGAGACAAAACACAAGAACAGTAATGAGTGAGAATTATATAGGAGGAAAACTCTCAAATATACAGAAAATAAGCCAGGCGCTGGTGGCTAACACCTGTAATCCCAGCTACTCAGGAGGCTGAGATCTTAGCGTCATGGTTCAAAGCCAATTTAGGCAGAAAAGTCTGGGAGACCCTTATCTCCAAGATACCAATATAAAACCGTAAGTGGTGCTGTGGCTCAAGCCGTAGAGTGCTTGCCTTGAGCTGAAGAGCTCAGGGACAGCACCGAGGCCCTGAGTTAAGGCCCCAAGACTGACAGAAAAAACTGTTCAGAAAATATTGGTTAGATATTTGCCTTCTAGTATCTCTATACACCATGAAAAAAGTCATATTGTGCCCGGTACCGGTGGCTCACGTCTGTAATCCTAGCTATTCAGGAGGCTGAGATCTAAGGATTGAGGTTCAAAGCCAACCCGGGCAGGAAAGTCCATGAGACTTTCATCTCCAATGAACCACAGAAAAGCATAAGAGGCTCTGTGGCTCAAGTGGTAGAGTGTTTGCCTTGAGCTGATGAATGGAGACAGCGCCCAGGCCCAGCTTCAAGTCCCATGACCAACCAAAAAAACAAAAGTCATGTTGTAGCCATCCCCACAGGGATTTTACATGGATGAGCTATTTGTGCAACAGGTGTAAAAAAAAAATGAAGATTTTACAAAAAGTGAAGCCAATCAGATGCCGGGGCTCCTGGTGCTCGTTGTACCATGCACTGCCGACCATGATGGAGCCCCAGGGACCACAGGAACAGACAGCCAGTGATCTTCCTTCCTAACACCCCAGCCCAGTGTGGTGCCCTTGAATTCCCTCCTGATTCTAACATGTGTCTCCCCAGGTCCTTCCAGGCCCTACATCCCAGATTCAAAGGTCACAGCACATTCATGTCTGAAATACCCAGGTCAGAACACTTCCAACCCTCCAGAACTGGCAAATGGAACATTTCCCCCAGATTCCACTTAAAAAAATTGTATGGGCCAGACCCTAGTGGCTCATGCCTGTAATCCCAACAGCTCAGGAGGTAAAGATCTGAGGATCCAGGTTCAAAGTCAGACCAGAAAGGGAAGTCCTTGAGACTCTGATCTCCAGTGATCCACCAACAAGCCAGAAATGGAGCTGTGGTTCAACTGGGGTAGCACCAGCTTTGAGTAAAAAAGCTCAGGGACAGTACCCAGGCCCTGAGTTGCAATTTCATATGCTGTAGGACCCACCTCCCAAAAAAGAAACTATTTTTACATCATTGTTTAACACTCTATCTTTTGACATTCATTCTAAGCCTGGCTTACGAGATAAAGAAATGGAGCTCCATGAAGGTTACCGTCTGCGGGACTCACACTGTTGTCTAGAGCTTTCTCACCTTCCTGGCTGGGCAGCACTCTTGCTTTGATGCTCAGCAACACACACATACTCTCTCTCTCTCTCTGCCTCTTTCTCTCACAAACACACACACACACACACACACACACACACACACACATCATGACAGCCACCGCAGGCGAAACTGTGTTCAGGCTCCACTTTGTGTCTAAGGTGTGTCTGGGCGTCCTGGGGAACTGTGTCCTCTTCCTGCCTTACGCATACAGTCCTGTGCAAACCCCCGGCTCCGGAAGCCCATTGATATAGTTTTCTTGCACCTGACCCTGGTCAACACCTTCGCCATCATTTTTGAGTCCATGCCCTTTATCGTCTCCTCGTATGGAGTCCTGTTTTTCTGGGATGATGCCACGTGTAAAGCAATGCCGTTCCTGTTCAGGGTCACGCGGGGAGTGTCCACCTGCACTACCACCTTCCTGAGCTCCTTCCAGGGCCTCACCATCAGTCCCACCCCTGCCCAGTGTGCTTGGCTGAAAAGCCGATCCTCTGCCTGCATACTCCCTTCACTGCTCTCCTTCTGGATCTTGAATCCCATCATGAATATCAACATAATCAAAACTCTGGATCCAATTGCAATTCTACCATCATGAGCCTGGGATTTTCTCATCCATACCGTCAAGTGAAATTTTGAAGGGGCTCCCCATTATCAGCTCCACTGTGCTGCGAGATGCTGTGTTCCTGGTCCTCATGGTGGCCACCAGCAGCTACATGGTAACACTCCTCTACCAACACGGCCGCAGAGCCTGGCACCTCCACAGTCCCAGCCTTGCCTCCCAGCCGGCGCCCAAAAACACAGCCACCCACACCATCCTGCTGCTGGTCAGCTGCTTTCTGTTCTTCCATTGCTCCAACAACATCGTGACTATGTATTCCTTGTACACGCTAGAGAAATTGAACAAATCCAAGGGTGTGCTACTGATGTTGTCCTTCAGCTACCCCACCCTCTGCCCATTCTTGCTCATGAAGAATAACAGATTGGTTTCACCATGGATCACTCACTCATGTTATACCAAGAATGATCCATTGTGAGAAAAAGTGAAGACCAGACCATGATGGTGATCCAACTCTGCTCACCTCATCCTTGCTGTTTGAAGGATGATAGAAACACCACAGAGGCCAGGAGCCAGTGTCTCAGGCCTGTCATTCTACTATTCAGGATGCTAACATCTGAGGATACAGGTTCAAAGCTAGCGCAGGCAGGAACGTCCATGAGACTAGAATATCTAGTTGACCACCAAAGGACCTAGAGTGGAGCTGTGGGGATTGAGCACTAGATATGCTGCAATTTTAAAACATTGAGGTTTTGAAGTCTTACTGACTATGCCTTTCTGTGTGTGTGTGTGTGTGTGTGTGTGTGTGTGTGTTTGTGTCAGTGTGTTTCCATCAATGTTTTTTGGTGGTTTTGTTGCTTAAAATAAAATTCTTGGCATAAAGAATGTATTTTCTGCTCTGGAAGGTGGCTCAGTGGTCGAGTGCTTGCCTTGCATGCATGAGGCCCTGAGTTCAATTCCTCAGCACCACATAAGCAGAAGTAGCCCAAAGTGTTGCTATGGCTCACGTAGTACAGTGCTCGCCTTGAGCTGAAGAACTGAGGGACAATGTCCAGGCCCAGAGTTTAAGCCCCATGACTGACAAAAAAAGTATTTTCTGTACATTATTAAAATTAACAACTTGTTTCTATTTTTTTATTTTTTGTGAACATACTGTACAGAGGGGTTAAAATTACATGGGCAAGATAATGGGTACATTTCTTATCAAGCATTGCAGCCTCCTCCTTTGTTTAGCCTTCACATCCTTTCCCAGCATCCCCCCCGACCCCAACCAATCTTCCCCACCCACTGTACACCCCCCCTTCCCCACACCAAAGTTGTAAAGTTCATTTTCCACATGACAACTTGTACTTCTCATTGTTGCAATGGGTCCACCTGTATCCTTAAATGACTTGTTTTTCCCCATCTCCTCCTCAAATTATACTGACTTCAAATACAGTGAAAGCAGGGGTTATACTGTGGGGGAGGGACATACAAAGCAACAAAGAAATAATCTTATAAATGTGTTATAAACAAATGCATGAAAGAAAAATACCTTTAAATACATATCTAAGGGTTCATTTTCCTAACATCTGTCCTGTTCTGCTTAACTCATACATATACTAGATACTGCAAATAAGGGAAACCATGGGACCTATGTTACTTTGGGCCAGGCTTACTTCACTTAATATAATTTTTTCCAAGCCTTTCCATTTCCTAACAAATGGGGTAATGTCATTCTTTCTGATGGAGGCATAGAATTCCATTGTGTATATATACCACATTT